ATAAGGCAACAGATGCAGTGTTTGTTACTGGTGCTCTGCTGAGAAAATGTCGAAACTGAGGCAGAGGTGAACAGCATACTGACCACTCTTAACTCCTGCTCACCAACTGAGTATTCTGGAGCATGAACTAAGGGGAAGAAACCCTGTGAGCTGCAGTGCTGGGGAGGAGAGCCGAGGCCCATGGCCCACCTGCCCGCAGAGCCCATCTCACTGCTTTGAGGATTTGTGACCTGCTGCAGACTGCTGTCTCAGATCTGAAGCTGCTTGGAGTGTGTGTGTGGAGAAAAATATCCAGTGCGAGGTCTGCTCTGATTATTTTTGGTATTTTGCATGCTGACTGGCAGCCTCTGGAGACTGCGTACTCTTCCTTGTGTGTGCCCAGACTGCGGTTCTGCTGGGTTGTACCACTTAAATAACGGCAGTAGATGGAGCTCTTGCAGCACAGCGTTTGCTCTGGATCAGAAGTTTTGTCCCAGATACGCCGCTGTTCTGCTAGGTCAGCACAGATGCTGTGTTTGCAGTGACACATGGAAGTCTGTAACGGGGAGGATTAGATCCAGCCACAACCGCTGAAGCTTTTCCACCAAACCATCTTTACTTCTACCCAAGTTTTTTTGAATAGAAGCAAAAGAAAACATAACCCAAACCATACAGAAAACTGCACCAACTGACTAAAAAAAAGGAAATTCAGCTCTGTCTGTCCTGCAGCCCCACTGTGACTTTGCTGTTGTTTTTTGGGGCCAAAGGCAAGCACTCTGTCACGGAGCATATGACAGACGTAATGTGTTGAGGCAGATCCAGCCTCCTTCAGCTCAACCTCCCGCTTTTCATGGCTATTAAGGGAGTAACCCCCCAACCTGGATCCTTTTTTTGTGGCTTTGATTTTAGGTTATCCTTTCTGCCAAACCTAAATAGCAGCCTGTAGGATTTGTCCTGGGTTATTTCCACTGTACAGCGTTGGGTTTTGCAATTGTCTCACTTGACCGTAGAAAAATTGGCCTTTGGGGTACATTTAATACGAAACTGTACTGACTCTTTGTCTTTTTTGCAAATTAATCTGCGGGAGGGAATGAAGGAGGCCAGTCTTTGGCATTTGTGGCCACTTGCACAACCACTGCCAGTGCAGAACTTCTCCTCAAGAACTCATGTTCTCATTGTCTGAGTGTCTGTTGAATTCTGTTACTGAAGTGAGCTGTGGAGGTTCTTCCCCTGCCCACATAGATATGGGAGAGCGAGGTGGAGAGGGGATTGAGTCCAGTGCAAAGCACAGAATCCCTTTTCCTTCCTGTCAGCTCAACAGAATACGCCTCAGTCCTGTTCACCTCTGCTGTCTTCCAGTGGAGATGATAACTGTGCCAAATTTTATGGTTTTACTATACAGAAAAATGTTTACTAGACAATAGGTTGCAACTTGTGGCTTAAAATGCGTTTGAATCCAGGTGTCCCACAGCTTATGAGGGTAACGCACCTGTGTGCCATCCTGTTCCATCTCCCCATTTTTAAGTGTACTTCAGGTATTTTTAAGCATCCTTATTTTGTAAACTTTAATTTATAATCTTGAATGGATTACAGCAGACTGTGGCCCTTCGTAGTGCTGTTATCTCAAAAACAGTGGTAGCAAATGATGTAAAGAGATGGGATGAGTGGGCAGCACAGGTCTGAGGGTGCTTTGCTGATGTCTGAGAGTTGAAGCTCAGCTGTTGTGTATCTGCAAGCACGACCTCGATTCAAGAGTTTGTTCTTCCATTTTTTTGAAGGATCTTTGCTTTTGGGCTTATTATTGCTTTGCCAGCTCTTTGAATGTAGTTTGTTTTTTATATTTATTTGCACATCCAAGTCAAATAAAATACCGATTTTAAAAGTCTGCAGGTCTCGCTGTTTTAAATGGTTTTAAGATTTAACTTAAGCCTTCTGCTGACCCCCAGACCTGACCGTCCTGCACCTGAAACTGAATTTTCAATGGCAGAAGAATGCAGCTGGAAGGCTGGATGAATCTGCCCTCCTGCACTTACAAGGAGCTGCGTGCAGCTGTGTGCCAGCCCACTTCCAACAGGCAGCGAATCTTTAACCTTCTCAGTGTACGAAAGTGATACGAAAGGGGAAGGTTTCCTACGTGCACACAGCAGCAGATCCCACATGAGAAGGCAGCTCCTCTGGCTCTGCACCCACTGCTGCCAGGCACAGCTGAGCACGGGCGGCCGTAAGGTGGCACAGTTGCTCTGTGTGGGAATAGATTTCAAAAGAAAACAGCCCCCAGAGCCGCTAATGCACAGCTCTGTGTTGGTTCACTCCTAGCAGCACCTTTGCCACGAGAGGTGTGCAAAAGCGAGCTCCTGGCCCAGCCTCAGCTGCTCGTGTGCTCTGCACAACAGCCCTTGGAGTGCACAATTCCAGTTCCGAAATCCATCAGCACATCTGCTCCAGGTTAAGGCAGTACAACCGCAACCAGGGAAATAACCCCCACCCGGCTTCCCCTCAGCCTCCCCGAATTCCTGGGTAATAATAACATGCAGAACCGCCTTCCCTGGGAGCCCTGCGCAACAAATGGATGTGTGGAGTTTGCAAATTAAGCTGCAGTGCTGTGACCCAGATCTGATAGGAGTTTCCTTTACATCATCCTCAACACTTCCGTTGCCATAACAAAAGGCGATTCCACTTTCTGTGCAGCGCGGCGTTGCTCACAGGGAAACAAACCTCCGTTCTCTCCGTAACAATCCTCTGATGAATAAACGGTATGAATGATTTGATACAAATGATGGTGGTGACGTAGCAGAGGACGCCATATATTTTACACAAAAGTGTCCTCTTGGAGATGTTGGACTTAACACAAAGAACGGCCCCTGTGCTGCTGGGGAGTGAAAGGCGCTGGGGACGGCACAGCTGACATCGCCACACGCAGCTGGAGCTCTCAGCAATACACGGCTTTACAAGATCCTTCACGTTTGCAGGATGGAATAATAAGGAGCGGTTTTATAAATCACATTAAGAATTGCTGAAGGGAGCACTTGAACAGTGGAGAAAGGAGAGGAGGGTGAGCTGGTGGCTGGTGAGGGCAGGAGGTGCCCCACGCACGAGGGCAGCCCCTGTGCCACCCACAGCCCCCGTGTGCCACAGTCTGCAAGGACAAACCTGGGCTGAGAGAGCCCTCATTTCTTGCTCAGTGGAGGTTTTCTGTGCTGTGATTTGGAGAAGGCTCCGATGCACAGCCGGTGGCTGGGAAAATCAGCATTGCATTCATGGAAAATGTGAGGTTTGCTGACAGCGGTGGAAATGCTGCGTGCTGCTGGCTCTGCCCCGAGCTGCTGCCTCTCATTCTGCAGCAGGAACACGAGCTCAGCCCAGGGCAGGATTCAGCTGCACCAGGAGTTCTCTCTTCACACCTGCTGGTTTGCAGCTGAGCTGCTGGAAGAGAGCAGGAATCTGAACCCTGTTAAGAGCATCCAAGTCCCAAAGTCAGATCAGTCAGACCCTAAAGGCACCATGTGGGGCAAGGCAGGTGCTGCCTGCACCTCCCTCACAGCTCTAAAATCCCTCCCCTGTGTTCCAGTCCTACATGTTCACGGTTCAGGGCAATGGAAGCAAAGAGTGCTTTCTCCCAGGAGATACCTATTGCACAACGAGCAGCTTTAAAACCAAATGTTACCCCACAGGGAAGGGAGCAAATGAGATGTTAACAAGCTGTGACAAACCTCTGGCATGAGAATTTTCAAGCAAGCTGTTCTGCATCTGAAGCAATCACTAAAGATCACACAGCATCTGAAAACTGAAGGATAGAGCAGTGAATAACCTCTCCCTGCTCCACTCCAGAGACCCGTCCGTAGGAAGCAGGGCTGTGATTTGCACACTATCTGCACCTGATTATGGCTAATTTTTTGCATACAGCGCATGGAAAGGATCCCGGTTGAGGCATGGAAAATACGTGGCTGCATGAGTCATGTTGTAATGGTTCATAAATCCTGAGAGAATCACAAAAGCAAAACATCCAACATTGCATCTTCCCTATCCCTGCCAGTGGAACCCCACCTCTCGACGCAGGGATGTGGGAATATGGTGAAAGCAAAGGAAATAGGATCATTTTCTCCTTGGAATAGAGGAATCTCTTCAAACAGCAGCCAGGCTCAGATTTGCAGTCTTCACAGAAGAAGCCATTCATGAGGCGAAGAAACAGGAATGAACTGCTCCTCAGGATGCCAAACCAAATTTACAATTCCTACCGCCTGGGCTCCAGCTCCATCCTTACCTCATGGAGTGGCATGCTCTCCTGGGGGGTGTTGGGTGGAGGCTGCGCATCTCTGGAAAAACACGGCTCTGTGTGGGCACGAGAGGCTGCAGTTCACTGTTATCTGCCCAAGCACACAGAGCACAAGCAGATAACAGCCCCCACGTCAGCCCCTCTCCTGCAGGACGGCTCAGCTTGCCCTGCCTATCGGCGGAAGCAGCACATCTCCATCAGGCCGGGACCTCAGCACTTATCTGTGTGCGTCACAGCACCGGGCGCTGCTTCCTTCAGATGGCCTTTGTTTAACCTCTGCAGCAAGAGCAAGGAGGGAGGGAAGCAGGATTAGAAATAAAGAAACAGAACTATGGTGGGCTGAACCCAACACGGGGATTGCGGGGCAGAACCCAAGCCCTGAACTGTCCCCAAAGCCATGGAAGAGCCCTGCACAGCCCCAGGAGCCGGGGAGGCTGCGGCCCTCCAGCACTCCATGGCTGTGTGCGGGGTTGACATCTTCGAAGGCATTGAAACAGTGTGGGAAAGGACCTCAAGCACTGTGCAGTGCTGCTTGGATCCCTCTCAAGCAGGACATCATTGGACGTGGAGGCCATAGGAGATTCAATGCAGTTTACACACTAAATCAAATTCAGAGTGTGTCAAATGTGACTGTGTGTTATTTTCAAGAACAGCCCAGAGCAGGGAGGAGACCCAAATGAGTCACTCGAGCTCTGACAAACAATCCCTATGGGTCTGGATGCGTGCGTCCCCCCAACCTCACAGCTGACACTGCAGCTACGTCTCTGCTGGGACCACACTGGCTCTAGGAATGCGTGACAGGATGAGTCTGGTGCTTCCGAGTGTTAAGGACTGCAAGGAGGAAACGCACGAGCACAGTCACTCACACAGCCTTTCCCAGCTGCCTCCTAGCACTGCAGCTCCTGCAGCAGCATGGGGACCTCCAGGAGCGGGCAGTTGGCATCCCGGCTCGCACTGTGCTGTGCTGCGTGGGGAATGGGCCTGGCAGCACCAGATTATGATGGTGAGTGGGCATCTTTGGGGAAAAAACTGCTTCTTAAAGTACAGGAGGTTTGGGACTTCTAAAACATCCCTGAGAACCTATTTATGAAATATTATTCTGGGTGCTCCAACCCTGGAGGTGCCCAGCGCTGTGGATGGGGGGGCACCCAGCCCATGGCACGGGAACTGTATGATCTTTAAGGTCCCTTCCAACCTGAGCCGTTCCATGATTCCATGATCATGAGAGTGAATGCTCACTGAGATTCATGCATGCTCTACTTGAAACAGGAGGTGATGGAGAATGCTTATGAAAGGGAAATTAAAACCAGTGTAGAACAAAGTGGCAAGAAACAAAAACAGAGCAGTCAAACAGAGCACTTGAAACCAAAACCTTCAGCTAAAAATTAAGCTCCCAAAGCCACAGCTTTGCACTGGAGTGTACCTGGATTTTAGGACTCTGAGAGCCGGGCAGAGATATTGTGCCCTGTTCCCCTGGTACCTGAGCTTCATAGCAATTGTGAGTGGTGGGAAGCAGAGCACAGAACAGACTTGTCAGTTTGCAGTAAAGCCCCCAATGGTCACTGCTGCACACCCAACTCCATCTCTCCTTTTTCTGCCCATGACCCATCAGCATTTTGCAGAATGGAACCCAACAATAAAATGCAGCGCCTTAGAATTTGGTGTAAGCATCACGAAACCAGCCCGCTTTGTTAACATGTGCAGCAAGTAACAGACTGCATTTACACCAACAGATTACTCTCAGAACAGCACCAGCGAGCAGATAACAACGGCAGAGATCACACCATGCCCCCGAGCCATCCCCGGCGAAAAGGCCACGATAGACAACATGACATACCTGCTGCTGCACGAGGCTGCTCGCTCCCAGCTGAGCAGTGGGGTCACAGTGCTGCTCATCCCCTCCCTCTACAGCCTCGTCGTCCTGCTGGGGCTGCCCTCCAACGGGCTGGCCCTCTGGATTTTGGCTACCAGAACTGAGAAGCTGACCTCCACCATCTTCCTGATGAACCTGGCTGCAGCAGACCTGCTGCTCATATCCGTGCTGCCTTTCAAGATAATCTACTACTTCCTTGGGAACAACTGGCCCTTTGGGGAAGGTCTGTGCCGGGTCATCACAGCTTTCTTCTATGGGAACATGTACTGCTCAGTGCTGCTGCTCACGTGCATCAGTGTGGACCGGTACCTGGCAGTGGTGCATCCTTTCTTCTCGCGTTCTTTCCGCACCCCTGCCTTCGCTGCCTGGACCTGTGCTGCTGTCTGGCTCTGCACTGCTGTCCTCACTCTGCCCCTGACTCTGCAGCAGCAGTCGTATCCCCTGTACAGAGCCGACATCACTCTGTGCCACGATGTTCTCCCTAGGCAGGAGGATGACGGCTATTACTTCTACTACTTCGTCTGCCTCATCGCCTGCGCTTTCCTCGCTCCTCTGGTGGTGATGCTGTTCAGCTACTGCTCAGTGCTGCAAGCCCTCCTGGGCAGTGGGAAGAGGTACTCCCACTCCATGAAGCTCACCGCTCTCGTGCTGTTCACACTCGTGGCCTTCTACACTCCCAGCAACGTTCTCCTCCTCGTTCATTACTCCAGCTATCAGTGCAAGCTGTACGGCAGTTTGTACATCGGCTACATGGTGAGCCTGGCCGTCAGCACCTGTAACAGCTGTGCCGACCCCTTTGTCTACTACTACGTGTCGGAAGATTTCCGGGAGAAGGTGAGGAGCACATTCTTCAATTGCAGCAAACCTCCCTCCTTACAAACCTCCAAAGAAACACTTCCTCAGAAAAGCTCCAAGGAGTCACTGGTGTAAGTCTCCATCCCAGCTCCCTGCCCCACGGCACTCCCAACTGTGGGGATGGGACAAAGCACTGGGACTTCACGAGTTTCATCCAGAGCAGTGAGGAGCAGTTCCCAGCAGACAAGTCTCAGGAAGAAAGAACCACGTTCTTCTGTCTGCACAGCTAAGACCAAACAACACGTGAGATGTGAAGTGCTGAACACATATAGATCTGTGATTGGAACCCTGCATGCAACTTCTCATCTGGTTACACCTGCCACGGATGCTTCTCTTGTACACCCAGGTCTGCTTTTAATGCGTGCTGTGAGCTGGCTGCTATCTGCCTTCTATTTCATTTTTCTGGCTTCCTTGCTGTCCTTGAACTCATATTCTTTTTACCTAAAACTGAAGGAGAACAGGCACTTGCATAACCAAATTTCTAAACATTTCAAAAATACCAGGAGGCACTTACAAAAAAGGCACCCATTGTCTGAACTAAAATGCTCTGCCCACAGAACACAGAGCACCAGCTTTTCTAGCTATTACGTTCTTGGCTTAACCAAGAATCACCACCCCAGTAAAGGCAGCCCACTGTCACAAATGTAAAAACCCAATTCCTTCATCCCTGTTGATGCTAATGACCTCTGGTACCCAAAACTTCTTAAGGCCAAGACTGTATTCTGCCTCTTGAAGGAAAATATTAAAAAAGGAATTGAGAAAACACTCAAGACATTTTTTTTTCCTTTTTTTCGCTTCATATCACACAACCAAGAGCTTTCTTCTATGAAACAGGTGATCACACTCATTGCTCAACACTGGGTATCCTGCAAACTATTCAAAACACAGCTCAGCTCTGGGCACATCCCAACAAGGAGCAAAGCAGAAAATGGGCAACGAAATTCCTTAGAGTTCCTGAATTTGGTGGTTCTATTGGTACAGCCACAACTGTGATCTACAACCACAAACAGCCCTACAGCCTACAGTGCGAATAAAGAGACAGAAAAGATTGTTTTAAAATCAGTTTTTAATAAAATATTTACCAGAATCTAAAACAAACCCTTTTCTGGACTCAGAGTTGCTAGGATGTGTGTGTGAACAAAACAAAAATGCTCATAGAACGGTGTGCTCACATGTAAGTGCTGGGGTGGGATGCACCTCAGGTGAAAACTAGTTCCAGTTTTCTAGGTGAAAACTAGAGCCCATCTCCTGTGGGTGCAGCAGAGCACGTGCAGAACATGGCAGCTGCTGCTGGAGAGGCAGCACAGACTGCTGTCACTCCATCAGAAGGAGCAAGCACCGAAAACCAAAACAGGAAAAGAAACAAAATGAGCTGAGGTTTTCCAAATAGGTCATCTGTCAACCATAATGAAAACCAGGTTACCCCAGGTTAAATATTAATTGTCAGTGTTAGCAAAGCAAGTGCCGTCGTTTCCATGATGTTATTCAAGCAAGCTGAACATTCTGAGGGCTTTTTTTTCCTACTGAGGCTGATTAAAAAGAATGGAAAGAGCTAAGACCAAAACACCCAGACAAGAAAGGACAAGGAAGCTATTGCTTTAAAATAAATACCATGGTAATGGTTACTCTGCATAATGTACAGTTACAAATATATAAATATTAATTTCACTGAAAGGATTGCAAGCAGAAAGTCACCTGTAATTAGCACTGCTGTTGGCTATTTAGTAACGTAACTTGGTGGAAGCAGAAATCTGTCTCACAAACCCATCAGAGAAAGGAAAGGAGAAGCATCTCTCTAACAGAAGGAGGCACACATTTCTAAGGCACAGCCAACTCAGCCCAAAGCAGCAGCAGCTCTGCTGCCATTCCACCACTGGGTTTGTCTCTTCCTTGGTGACAAATGAACCCATTCTCTCCTATCTATGAAGAGGAGACAGCCCAATGATTGCCCTGAAACTGCCACAAAGAACCCACAGAACAAAGCCAGGTTGATGGGCTGGCACCAACAGGAATTATTTAGCTGGCAGTAATATGAAGCTTTCTTGAATCTTGAGTTACTCCATTACACATAGCAGAGCCTGAGGAAAATGAAGTCAAGTTTAACACTCAGCTGAAACCCTCTGCCTTCATCAGCTCATCCCAGTGGGGACACTGCTGGACTGCCCAAGGATCTATGAGGGCATCAATATGAAAGTACCTCAAACATCCTTCTGAACTCATCTGAAGGGATGAGACAGGAAAATGAAACCCAGGAAGGGAAAGAGCACAGGAGGCTGCAGAGCTCAGGGCACAGGTCCCATCTTCCCAGGGCAGTTGGTTACACTGACAGAATCACAGTGCCCAAATATCCCGACTCAAAGCACTGAACAGACCCTGAAACCAGCAAACAGCAGGGTTTGTATCGTGCAGCTTTGATAGCCAGGAAAAAAAAGAAAAAAGAAAAAAATCAACCAAAAATCTCTGCAGCTCATACTGGGTCTGCTGTTTACCCAGGGGATAAATATTGACTCAGGCCATGTGTACACAATAGCCAGCATCTGCCAGGCCAGTCGCTTACAGGAGATGGAATTGAGTTTAAGGGCATTTTTCTTTACCTGCCAGGCAGGAATGCAGCTGCCAGTGCTTCCATTGCACAGTGTGGACACAGCAAGGACACAGTCTGTTAATGTGCACTGAACAGACGTGGCAAAAAACTGCAGAGGAGCAGTGGGTAGACACAGGCAGCAGCCACAGTGAGGTTCTGCAGGAGAGCTGAGAGCAGCAGGCAGGCTGCAAACGATGGGGGGAAGGCTCGTACCTTCACAGAGCACTTCTGAAACTCCAGAGAACTTAGAGCCAAACCCTCACAATGTTGTGACGCTCTGCAAATAGCCAGCCTGACATAAAGGAATGGAAATTACTGTAAAGCAATGGAAAGCGCAGCAATAACTGAGCAGCGAGGTGCCAGGCTGCAGCAAGTGAGGTTTTGCTCAAATGCAACAGCAGTGGCACAGAAATGAAGGAAAGAAGCTGCTTCCCTTCAAAAGGCCTCAGGGATGCAGGGATCTCCAGAAGATCCCCTCACCTCTACTGCCAACCCTTAAGTCAGGGCTGGGAAGGGGAGGTCCTGGCTCCATCCTGCACCTGAGCTCCCCTAGACTGGCCCTGCCTTCCACCAAGCATTCAATCACTGCTTCAGGCTGTGTCTCAGCATTTCTGCTACAACTACACACCCGGGGTCTGGGGTACCCCCTGTTTTGTCCCTGCGCAGACAGTTTTCTGGAATAAAACTGCCCTTGTTCTGGAATAGAACGTCTGTACTGGGATATATTCTTGTCAGTGTTCCTATGTAAGTAAGGCCTCAAAATGAACAGGGTTGGGCTTTTTCCTGTTTCCATTCACCACGAAACATCTCAAAAGGAGTCCCCACCCCACTCTGGGTCCTCCTAACAATAGAAGTGAGAAGATAAAATATTAGCAGTATTTTGCAACAGGCAATTGAATCAAACTCCTCTAAAGAGAACAGTGCTGCTCCAGCCAGGGAGGGAAACCAAAAAGTAATGCACTTCTGGAAACAAAGCTTTTAGTTGTAGTTGTACTGCGTTGCTGGTGCAGGTCAGGCTGTGGGGATCTGAACCACCAGCAGCCCCAGGGCCACTGTATGGATGGCCATATCCAGCAAAGGCATCGTGTGGAGGGAGCAGAATTGAAGTGATTGGTGAAGTCAGGCAAGCATTTAAAAGAACTGTGCCTCAGGTCAGCTTTATTTTCATGCCAGAGTTACAAGGAGGAAAGGGGCTGCAGAGCTGAGAAGGCTGCAAGCAGCCCTCACCAGCACATAGTGCAAAATGAAGAGGGCTCATCCACCAGATGCTGTTACAGCTGGCAAACTCCTCACCTGAAGCTTTCCAGCCCTGGATTTCAGTTTTCTCTTGTAAAACAGACCGCCCAACAACATGGATATAATAGTGCAGTTTTTCTTCTTGTGGGACATCATTATGGGTGCAGCAGATTTATAGGCTACAGAAGATTACTAGCCTCTTGCTATGTCATAACTAGCAAAATACACTGATTTTTATTATTATAATTTGAGAGAAAACTTCTCAGCCATCTTTCCTCAAACAGCAGTTTAGCTAAGCACAAGGCCTGGACTTAGCTTCTAAATGTAGCTAGGAAATGGCAGTTGCAGTATCCTGATAATAGAGAAGACACTTGGAAATGGTCTATAGGTTTGAATTCCAGCCCCTATTTTTCTCACCTAGAGGGCACAGCATATCGGCCTTCCATCCTTGGAAGCATTCCTAAGAGGTTGCACAAAAGGCAGAAAAATTGACAGAAGAATAACACTGAGTGTCCCTCTGTGCTCTCCAGTTCTCCCCGGGGGGCAGAAAAGCTTACACAGTTCTGAGGGCAGCAGGAAGTAGTCATCATTCAGTTTCTGTTCTGCAGCAGGTCATCTGTTGGAACAAACTCATACAGGAGTTGATTCTGAGCCTCTTCTTTTTATTTAAATTATATATTTCTGTTGAAAAGAGAGCATGATGAAAAGAATCACTTTCCCATTACGTAACTTTATGGCACATCCCTGAGACTGGGCAGCAAAAAGCTTCAATCTCCCAAGAATGGAGACACCCAGCTATGAAGACTCACACGCTGTCCCAGTGAGATCTTGATCCTGGTGAACATTTGCTAAAGGGGCTCATGAGCCACTTCTAAGAAGGCCCATTTTGAGGAACCGGACGCATCTGACCCAACATGAATTGCTGCGCTATAATTCCCAGAGCAGATTCACAACCCCCAGCTCACCATTCTACGGTGGTCACTACTTCCTGAATGGTGTCCACTTCTCTTAACGTGCTCACTGTTGTCAGTTCTGCCACCGTCTCAAAAACATCAGCTTCAGAGGCGTAGGGGTCCGGGTCGTATTCATAGGAATAATACGACAGATCCAACGGCAGCGGAGGGCCTTCCTCAGCTGGAAAGGAAACCGTGGTTGTGCTTTAGCCAAGGAAACTTCTATGCTGTGACATGCAATGCTTAAGTGCAAAGGGGAATGACATCAGAGGGAAGGAATGGCAGTCAGGGAGACAACTCAGGAGCCGTACAAGTGTTTCGTTTGTGTAACGGAGGCTGCACGTGTCAGCAGAGCAGTGCAAGCATGCTTAGGTTCGCACACAAGGTTTACTCCATGTTTGTGGTGAAGAGATCAATTGGAACAGGAAGATTTGTTTTCAGACCAACAACAAGGAAGATTTTGGCACAACAGACCTGGATCCCACACTGAAAACATTTACTCTGCTTTCAGCCTCATCTAGCTGAGGTGTGTCTGCTTCGGCCAGAGCACCAAGGAGCTGTCAGCACTTAGCACAGAAATGTGCAGAAACAGACACTGATCCTCCACACATTCCCTCCAGCCCAGCCCAAGGCACTGGCAGGTCACTCAGTGAGCATCCCACCAAAAAGGGCCGTAACTCTGTGCTGGGTGATCGCCCACAGCCCAGAGGTAAGGCTGCAAGATACGAGCTGTGCCTTGAGCCAGCTCAGCTTTTCATCTCACCCAGTTTGCTTTCTACACACTGTTTTGGATTACAGCAATCACCAAAACATAGTTGTTGCAAGAGGAAATGTCCCCCTCATAAAAGTTTGCTTTATTGAAGGAGGATGCTTGTCAAGGCCTTTGAAAACATTTGTTCTCTAGAAATAAAATATTTGAAGGCTTTCCTGCTGCCTCCCACACCCTCCCAGCAACAGGCTCGGCCCAAGGCAAGGGAACACTTGCCTGCAAGCAGTCAGCCTGTTTTCACTTCTTGGCCTTCTCCAAGTGAGAACGTGCCAGATCATGAGGCTGCTCTATGAATGGATGATTGCTGTCCACCAGGGACAGAATTAACATCACAGACCTCACTTTTCCTAGGAATGCAGTGTTGGAGTCAAAGCAAAGATGAAAGGCTGACATTTCCTGTTGCACACAAACTGCTGTCCCATCTCCAAATGTTTGTGCCTCAGCCAATGTTTGCTGAGCAGCAATGGGGGGAAAGGAAAGGTGGCCCAGTGCCAATTCCATCAGTCCTCAAAGAACAGCACTGCTGTGAGCAGTGCAT